TATCATTTCCAAAGGGAAAAAGCTAATGTTGTCAAGAATATGGAGAAACTGAAAGCTTTGTTCATTCCTGGTGGGAATGTAAGATTCCTCAACAACTTGAGAATGTAAGAACTATGGCCACGTGATATAGTTATTCTACTTCAAAATCCTCATCCAAATGAATTGCAGGCAGGGAACTAAAACTCCATACAGTCCAACAAAAAGAGTGAAACTAGCATAAACTAGTAATAAAAATCCATCAATGTTAGTTCATAAGTTGGTGCAAATGTACCACACTAATGCAAGAGTTTAATAACAGAAAAAACTGTTGGTTTTGGTGAGCTCAGGGTGAATTGTGGAATCTCGATTTTCACTATATTTTTCTATGAACTAGAATGTAATAATTTCTGATTAATTAATCATTTAAACATAAAAATCAATGTTTTCCACAAAAATAAAACAAGGCACTTTGTAAAGGGGAAATAAATTTGTTCCTGCTTATAGTTGGTTAGTGCATATACTGTGATTCCTACCCATGTCTACTGGATTCCAAAATCCCCCTCCCTGCTGAGTATCACTTGGCCCATTACCACTTGAGTTAATTTACTGACAAAGATAAATAATTGAACATCATTGTCTTTCAATGAGGTGTTATTGGTTCTAGAACAGAGAACATGTGTAACCTATAGGTTAACTCCCAGTCTGCTTTCCTAGAACCTTCTCCCTTGTCTTCAGCTCTTGAGCTCACAAGCATTGAATATAATTTCTCAGTATCTCTTGCAGGCATCCCTGTCCATGTGACACAGTTCTGGCTAATACAATATTAACACAACTTCAGAGTCTTTTTATTTCCTTCTGAACCATTACTAAGCATTCCTATTTCCCCTCCTTACCTGCCTGAAACAGACACTGAAAAAGGGAGATGAAACAGCTATCTTGGCACCAAAGGTGTAGAGTATCAGGAAAGAGCCTTATATGTTAAGCATGGCTGACTTGTAAGCATGGATCTTCCTGCATCATTCAGAGGCTAACCAGTGTTGGATGCTTATTCCATAGGCATTGTTTAAACCACTGCTCTAGTGTGTTCTGTAATTCACTGAGAATACCATTCAAACTGATACATGTACAAGAACAGTAATTTTTATATAAGAATTGCATTGAGCAAATGTGATCAGTTTCTCATGGTGTTTAGGTAGACTTTAGTAGCATAAGCACTGGATGTACTAAAGATACTAGCTGGTTGAGTATTGGTAGTACATAGTTAACCACAGATTGTCTTTTGCTGCTATACAAGGAGTTGATGGTTAAAAACTCTCCATCTCACTGCAGCCTCCCCCAGCTTTTGACTCTCACCCTATTGCCATGGTCACATATTAGTTACCATTTGTCATCTTACTTTAACCTTTGTTATTCAAGCAATGGAAAATATTTTATACATAAGAGCCTAATCAAAGTGGGACAGAAAAGACAGACTGAAGGCACCACATTGAAAGAAAATTGGCATTGTCATCAGAACCAGTAAATACACACTGTTCCAGAAACCCTGCCTCCATGGATTGTGTGCAGGTCCAGATGGAGGACATGGATCAGGGCAGTAGTGAATAGCAGACTCGTGCATCTGGGTGGGAGCCCTTTGTGCTCTGTGGTCTGTAAGATTCCTGGCATTAACCTCATTGAAAGCTCCATTTTAGACTGTAATCTTCCTGACTTCATCCAAAGTGGTTCGTGGCCTCCAAGGTTTTTAGACATTTATGCAGCTATGCAAAGTGGCTTTGTGAGGATTTAATCAATTCTAGAGGTTTCATTGTCATTGGTTATGTATGGAATTCACAATGCAAATTTCTGTCTTAATCCATTTAAATTCTGTTTCCAGACATTTGATGTAATATATTACCTTCCCATTTAAATGCTGGCTAGCATGTATGTATAGGTAATTTGAAGGAACTGGCAAAAAACGAAGATTTCAGCTATGTCATTTGCTTTTCTAACAAGTTTTCATATTACTCTACAATTGTTTTGGTTAAAAGAATGGTTTGTAAGTAATAAAACATTAAACATAAACTGTCTTTCCTTACTGAGTTAGTTCTGTAATATATATGATACTGAGTTGCTTATTCTCTTCTATATATGTCTATCCATTTATCTCATTTAAAAATTATGTTTGTCTCTCAAAACCTACACCTGAGAATATAACCTTAGTTTATACGTCCTTAATAAAATAAAGGTGAGAGTTCAATCTAACTGCTTCTAATGAATTATTCAATAAGACATTAAAATATTTCAAAATTAAAAGAGTCAAATCTTTGTGGTTTTAGGCATATCTAATCTAAGAATTAATGTCAATAAAAGCATTTGATCCATTTTATGTAACTCCTGTTAGGCATTGCATTAAAATGAATTATGTGTGGGTAAAGTGACAAAGATTGAAAAAAATTCAACTAATGGCACTTTAAAAAGCAGTAATGTAATCAGATTGTGGGAAAAAAAAGACAAAAAGACTTTCAGCACAAGAAGTTTTATTCATAGAAACTACAATAACAGAAAGAACATTTCCTTTCACATCAAATGAAAAAATCAAATAATAGTCATTTCTCATATTCTAATAATCATGCAGCCAGAAAGAGATATCAGTAAAAATTTCATCAAGAATACATGTGAGCATCAGGTAAGATGTGCACAATTAGCTTCATCTTAGCAAAATTTAAGCATAAATCTTCTGGAACATTTATGTTGGCAACATTTCTCAGTCAGTGAATCTTCATTGATCTGTCGCTTTTTTCGGGAATAAGTATTCAAGCTTAAGTATTCCAATTTTGAAAGGCTATTTTCTGCTTCCCCTTGTCTATTGTGAATAATATCCTTCAACTCTTCAGGACTAGGCTTTGAATCCTCTATTGCAGGTTCTTGTCCTTGTAGCTCTAGTGACAATGGCAGCCTCTCAGATGCTGTTGCCCTCAGCTGCTGGGGCAAATTAGGACTGATTCCCAACATCATATTGAAGGCATCTTTATCTTCATTGAGAGAGGATGGCATGATATCTATTAAGTTTAAAAAAAATAAGTGGGAAGGGAGAGAAAATATTGATGTCAAGAATCATCAGGAAAACTGCAAATGTAAGAAGAGACAAAAACAAAGGCATTTCCTCAATATACTTGAACAGTGAACAAGAAGCAACAAGTATCCTGCTATCTAAGCAACTCGGTTTCCTTATATTTGAGTAGCTTAAAGTACTATAATCTTGTCAAAGTTCTGCTTTGCTCCACTTGGTCCTCTGTCACCTCTTTCCTCGTCATCCCCTCTTTGCTTTTATCATGATACTTTTCACCCTTTGATATTCATCTCTCATCTTTCTGATGTCATGCTGTTCATTGAACCACTAATTTAAACAAAAGAGGGTTTTTTTTCCTTTGGTACCAGGGATTGCATCCAGAGGCACTAACCACTAAACCACATCCCAACATCATATTGAAGGCACCTGCAGCTCACTGCAGCCTCCACCAGCTTTTTACTCTCACCCCATTGCCATGGTCACATATTAGTTTCTATGTGTCATCTTAATTTAACCTTTGTTGTTCAAGCAGTGGAAAATATATTTTATACATAAGAGCCTAATCAAAGTAGGAGAGAAAAGATGGATTGGAGGTACCACATTGAAAGAAAAATTGAGGCAGAGTCTCATTAAATTGCTTAGGGCCTTGCTATGATACTCAGGCTAGCTTTGAACTGGTGATCCTCCTGCCTCCGCCTCCCTAGCTGCTGGGAGTACAACTGTGTGCCACTGCTCCATGCTGGATTTTGATTTTTTTATCAGTAATTTTTCCATTACTAAAAAATTTCGACTTATGATAGTAACCTTTAAAGAGGACCATAATAATCTTAACCTATCCAATCTCATGGTGGCAAGCTACTGCTTCAGAATAAAGTTTAAAATGAGGAATTTCCAAGAGCTCTGATATAATTAGCTGAGGATATGTTTCTCACAAATCTCTTTAGCAATCACTTTTCCCTAGACTATTTACTCCAAGTCAATAGACTTTGATATTGAAAAGAGAAACAGGTTAAAAGAACACAAACAAAAAGCAAATACAAAGCAATCTCATCTTCCCTAGTTTGAATTAGTAAATTCCAAGATTCTGTGGTATTCTTTATAACTATTATACAAGAATTATGAAATGAATGGCATTATATCAATCTCTGACAATGTAGAAAATAACTTTAAATCATACTTTAAATCCCATAAAGAAAACTAAATGTGCAGGACTTCGGACTGCAGCCCCTGAGGAGCTCATGCTCTGCGGCACATTGGAACTGCACTGTGACTGCCAGAGACTGCCCAGAGGATCGCTTGCAGCCACCACTGCTGCTTACGGAACAGGAAGATGTGGGACACATGGATTTGGAATTCATGTGAAAAACCACTTTGGGGGTGTGAATGTGATTCCTGATGAAACTGTATTGGAATAATTTTCATAGTGTGTGTGTGTGTGTGTGTGTGTGTGTGTGTTTTCTTTTTAAATTTTGCATTTGACTTAAAGTGCCATAAGTAAATTTGTATATTGTAGGGTGGACTTAGCCATCTCCTTAATTTGGGTACTGTTGGATACGTTCTTGCTGCTTTACTTCAGTGAATACAACAAATGTGATGAGAAAAAGGAGAGAGGACTTCCTGCTAGGAATGTTCTACAGCCAGCATAAAAAGCTCATGAAGGTCCTGGAGAAATGGGGAAACCAGTTGTCATTCCTAAAGAGGATCAAGAAAAGATGAAAGAGATGTTTAAAATCAATCAGTTCAGTTTAATGGCAAGTGAGATGATGGCACTCAACAGATCTTTCCCAGATGTTAGGTTAGAAGGGTGTAAAACAAAGGTGTATCCAGATAATCTTCCTACACAAGTGTGGTGATTGTTTTCCATAATGAGGCTTGGAGCACACTTCTGTGAACTGTCCATAGTGTCCTTAATCGCTCACCAAGCACATGATAAAAGATACTGTTCTAGTAAATGATACCAATGAAAGAGACCTTTTGAAAAGACCTCTAGAGAATTATGTGAAGAAACTAAAAGTGTGGGCTGGGGATATAGCTAGTTGGTAGAGGGCTTGCCTCATATGCACAAGGCCCTGGTTCAGTCCGTAGCACCACAAAAAATACAAAATAAATAAATAAAAGTGCCAGATCATGTAATTTGAATGGAACAGCACTCTGGATTGATCAGAGCTAGATTGAAAGGAGCTACAGTGTCCAAAGGCCAGATAATCACCTTCTTAGATGTTCATCACCAGTGCACAGTTAGGTGGTTGGAGCCTCTCTTAGCAAGGATCAAACATGACAGGAGAACAGTGATATGTCCTATAATTGACGTGATCACTGATGATACTTTTGAACACATGGCAAGCTCTGATATGACCTATGGTGGATTCAACTGGAAGCTCAATTTTTGCTGGTATCCTGTTTCCCAGAGAGAAATGGACAGAAGGAAAGATGATTAGACTCTTCCTGGCAGATCACCTACAATGGCAGGAGGCCTTTTTCCAATTGACAGAGATTACTGTCAGGAAATTGGAACATATGATGCTAGAATGCATATTTGGAGAGGAGGAAAAACTAGAAATTTCCTTTAAGATTTGGCAATGTGGAGGAATTTTGGAAATTGTCACTTGCTCACATGTTGAACACGTGTTTTGGAAAGCTACCCGACCCATACACATTTCCAGGAGGCACAGGGCAAATTATCAATAAAAATACCAAACAACTTGCAGAAGTATGGATGGATGAACTCAAGAATCTTTTCTATCTAATTTCTCCAGGTGTGACAAAGGTAGATTATGGGGATATATCTTCAAGACTTGGTCTAAGACACAAACTACAGTACAAACCTTCTTCTTGGTACGTAGAGAATATTTACCCTGATTCTCAGATTCCACATAACTATTTTTCATTGGGAGAGATATGAAATGTGGAAACAAATCAGTGTTTAGATAACATGGCTAGAAAAGAAAATGAAAAAGTTGGAATTTTTAATTTTCATGGTATGAGAGGCAATCAGGTTTTATCTTATACTGCCAATAAAGAAATTAGAACAGATGACTTTTGCTTGGATGTTTCCAAACTTAATGGCCCAGTTACCATGCTCAAATGCCACCACCTAAAAAGCAACCAGCTCCAGGAATATGATCCAGTGAAATTAACCCTGCGGCATGTGAATAGTAATCTGTGCCTGGATAAAGCAACAGAAGAGGACAGCCAGGTGCTCAGCATTAGACTCCAATGGAAGCTGGTCCCAGCAGTGCCTTCTTCAAAATGTCACCCTTCCCGAAATATTCTGAGACCAAATTTTTTAGAAAACAAAAAAATAAGGATTGAATGGACTACCTCAGCATGCGTTCCTGCCACATTCTTAAGTAGCAAAAAAGAAAAAGTGTTTTCCTTCTCTACAGGATGTAAGGTTTATCAGCCATTAAAACTCAGACTCCTCTAGCTTTTCACTTCCTGTCCAAGGACGTGAAACTGCATAGTAGTGAGACTCGCACACTGATGTTTACAAGATTGAAACAATCTCTCATCAAGAATCATGGAAAAGAATATTCAGACAACGAAATAGTCAACACAATGTGCTTTCTAGAGATCTGCATCTTTTATGGTTTGCTTGCACATCAGTAATTTCTGCTGGGTACTGTCAATGAAGAGATTATCAAGATTTTTTTTTCCTGATTAGAACTGGTAGCCAGTATATTAATTATTGACATAAAAGCAAATTTAAAAGAACTAGAACCAGATTCAGAATCATTAAAACAACATTGAAAAAATTATATTAAACAGGGTATAAAGAAAATTAAAACAGAACTA